CCCCCAAAGCCCCAGTACATAGTTGTCTGTCATAGCTGCACATCCTTCTAGTTGCTGTATGTGGGACGCGGCCTCAGCATGGCTGAAGGAGTGGTGCCTCGGTGCGCACCCGGGATCCGAACCCGGGCCGCCGGCAGCGGAGCGCACGCACTTAACCGCTAAGCCACGGGGCCGGCCCTTTATTGTGGTTTTGATATGCATTTCCCTAATGATTAGTAACGTTGAGCATCTTTTCACGTGCTTATTGGCCATCTGTATATCTTCTTTGGAGAAATGTCCTTTCAAGTCCTTTGCCCATTTTTTAATCAGGTTGGGTTTTTGTGTTGTTGTTGAGTTGTAGGAGTTCTCCCTGTATTCTGGATACTAATTTCTTGTCAGATACATGCTTTATGAATATTTTCTCCCGTTCTGTTGGTTGTCTTTCACTCTCTTAATAGTGTCCTTTGGTGCACAAAGTTTTTAATTTTGATAAGTCCAGTTTATCTATATTTTCTTTTATTACCTTTGCTTTTGGTGTCACATTCATGAAAATTCATTTATCTTTTAATTTATTATGAGTATTGGGTATGTATCTTGGGGCATTTTTCTATTCACTGATCTCAAGACCAGAACCATTTCATATGCTGCACAAGTTATGAAACACAACAGCTCTTCTTAGGATCCTGGCTTTGGAAATTCAAGACTATCTAAGAAGGTCAGTAAAACTGCAGAAAAAGTATCTTCTGCAGGACCAGCAGGGAAGGCACAGCAAAACTGAGATTCATAGCTTTACCAGAAACATACATTTAGTTTTAACCCTGCAGAGGGATCATTCCTCCTGATATAAAGAGATTACTTCTTCTGCATTGTACCTAGTTTAAATTCACCGAAATCATATTAAGCAAAAAAATGTAATGTTAAGATAATGGTACTTAACAAGTATTCTTTAAAGAGAAAGTAATTCTGCTAGTATATATTGGATCAAAATATAAACTGATAATTTCTGACAAGAAATTGGGTTTGGTGATTTTACCAAAGGTAAAATATTTGGCCTAAATATGGAAGATTCTTATGCAAATATGCAGAGGTGCAGTAGTGAAGTTTATTAATTTCATAATGTTAAACCCCTCTAATGTGCATTGTATGTAACATACATTGAATGTAACATACATTGAATAAGTATTTTTAATTAAAATATATATCTGTAATTATAGGACTTTAGCTCATTTTCTGGCATTCTTTTTTTCCAGAGCCATCTGACAAATATCTATTTAACTTTTTTCTTTTTTGGTAATAGATGATGTGTCTTTATAACTGATTTTCTTTATATCTGTTGCATACTACAGTGTAAGAATTATGCTGGCTAGGGTTAGAGTTCAATATGCATCTTACACCTGATGAGGTCCACTGAATCAGAGGGGAGTTGTGTGAGTGAATATTGCTGCACAGGTTGTATTCTTGTCTTTTCCTTTTAAAAAAAACAAATATGGCTCCTACATATCTTTATTATTACCCAGAACTTATTGAATGCAAAGAATATATAAAACCTACTGCTGAATTATTCTCCCCTCTGATATTTGGTTCCTTTTACACAGTGAGTTTCGGGAAATAATATGTTAATAAACAGCATAGGTGCATGGAGAAGTTACAAGTCCTTTGTGACTTGGAGCAGAAGGAAACAGAAAATAAATACAGAGATACTTAGACTTATTCAAACCATTGTGGTTTTGACACATGATATTCTTTAGATTCTTGGAGTCAGAGGCAAATAAATTTAGTTATCTGTATAGTTCAATATATATTAATCCTGCGCTTATTAAGGGAAAAAAAATTTTTTACAAATCATGTGGTGAAAAGCTACTCTGAATTCTGGAAAGCAAAACCACAAGGTAAGATTCAAGATGAGAGACATTCTCATAAGAATTAGTGCATGGGAATGGATAGAATATATTGACAAAGTAAAAACTGTGGGCTAATGAATCAAAAACATTCCAGAAACCTGAGTGTTTCTAGACTCTGTCCTGTTCCCTCTCAGTCTATCCTAAAAGCTTCTTGGTTTTATCTCCTCCACAGAGCTCCAGTAGCTCCCTCTCTTCTCTTTCCTTGCTGAACATGCCTTGCTTCAGGTTCTCTTTCTACCCAGGAGCAGTACTCTACAAAGATGTATTTTATCCTCTAGTCTTTTCTCTCTTTCACTTCAAACTCCTTTGTGCAACACGGCAGCCGTGCTCAGGAGTGCTGTCCATCTGTGGTTCAGACCTGTGGTTGTGGCATACACTGTTACCACCTGGTGGTAAGGAGTGTGTTAAATACAGATTTGATCCTCTCATCTTTTCCTCCTCATCCACTACCCCCCATGCCCATGCTTGCAATCTGTTACCTTATATGTCAGACATCTTTATAGTTCCTCTTAATCTGACCCTTGAATATCTTTCTAGCTTCATTTCCTGCCCCTCTTAGTATGCTCTCCATTCCTGCCTTTATAGTGTAGTGGTTAAGAGTGATGGCTCTGGAGTTGGACTGCCTTATTTCATATCCTGGTTCAAGCATGTTATCTGTCTGTCCTTGGACAAGTCATTCCTATGTGTCTAGCTATGACAGAGCTAACAACTTGTCTGAATGGGGCATTGACCAGTCAGGTCGGATGATGGCAGTAAATGATTGGAACTGGTGCATACCAGGTGAATGTCAGTTTTGTCCATTCCTTTGTTTCTTCATCTGTGTGATGGGCATGATAAAACATACTTTTATTGTGAAGATTAAATGCGATAATTTGTGCGGTGTTCTTAGACCAGAGACTGGCACAGGTAAATATTGAGTAAATGGTGGCTGTTACTATCCTTACCATTTTTACAACTCTTGAAGCAACATGCTCTTCATGCTTCTAGATTTAACTCTTTACGTAAAAGGTCTTTTTCCTGTGGATAACTTTTTATTTCTCTTATAAGACTGGTTAAATATCACTTCCTTTAGGAATCCTGAATAATTTTTTCACTCCTCTTTGGCCAGGACACTCTTCTCTGTCTCCATAGTATCTTGTTCATAATTCTGTCCCAGTACATCTCCTTCTGTATTGTCATTTGTCTCTCTCTTACTTCACCATTAGATTATGATCTTCTTGATCCAGAAATTTGTTGTTTTATTCTTTTATAATCAGTGTCTTGCATTTACTAATATTTACTGAATCAATGAAAAATAAGTCTGTGTATCCATGATGTTGACTTCTTTAACAAATATCTATTTAAAGTTATTATTGGGACAGTGGATAAATTGGAGTATTAACTGTATTATTCTGCACCTTTTCTGTAAGATTGAAATTATTTCAAAAAATAATTCCAAAAAGTCTACAAAAATATGTTTTACCATAGTACATGCTCTTAAATTTTTTTTAACAATATAAGTTTATCAGTGAAAATGCTCTATGTTCCTGTAATTCCACCCCCATAGATAACTGTAGTTAGCAGTTTGATCTATGTAATGATTTAAACAAAAATATTTTGTAAATTTAGAGGCTTGAATTAGATAATCTCTAGATTGTTAAGTTCTCTTACTCTTATGCAGAGAAAGGGAGGACAGAGAAAGGAAAAGAGAAGGAAAGTCTCTTAAATTTAGTGTGCTTATGACACTTTTAAGTGTTTACCTTTAGGCATTTTTCTGCCAATTCACGGGGTTGTTTAGATTGTAGTGTCTCCTGACCTCAAGACCAGGACCACTACATATGCTCTACAAGTTGTTCATAGCAGCCCTGCTCAGGAGTCCTGTCCATCTGTGGCTCAGACCTGTGGTTGTGACATACACTGTCACTACTGGTGACAGTGTAAGTTTATACAATGCAAAAGCAGAATTTTGGGAGGTGTCAGAAGAAAACCTTTAAATACTACATCTACGTACTAATTTAGGAGTTGCTTTCAATTCCATTTACTGTTAAAGGGTATTTTATTCATATTTGGCACAAAAGTTTTCAATTTCATGTATTTGGCACAAAGATTTTAAATTACAAGTTGAGTAACAAAAAGGGAAAATTTTAAGTAATGATAGATATTAATGAGAGATCAAATACCCATTTTATATAATTTACACAAATTGTTTCTGTAATGCTGTGATAATCCAGTGTTCCTTTTATCCAGTTTTAAAGTATTAGGAATAAACTCTTGAATATTAATTGATGTTAAGAAGAATGCTTTAGCTACCACATACCCGAATAAGTAATAACAAGTCAATGGATTATTAATCTTACAAAATTCCAGTTTTGTGATATGTGAAATTTGAATAATTGTAAGAATCTTTATGATGTTTCCTTCAGGTGAAATTCCTAAGCAGGTTAAAGTGAAAAAATTGAAGAACCTAAAGACTCTGGATTCTAAACCTGGTATTCACTTTTATTAATTTTTAAATATATACTCAAATGGGTACTTGGGTCTTACTGTTTACCTTATTTTCTTTTTTTTTACCTCTTAGGAGTTTATACTTCTTATAAGCCATATCTAAATAGAGATGAAGAGATCATAAAACAATTACAGAAGGTGATTGCTCATATTATTAATTTAAATTTCCTTGTTCAGGTATGCAATATCTGGTTAGGCCATATGTGCTTTATGTATTATAATGTGAAATGAGGTTTCTCTTTTGAACCAAACCTTCATAAAAGTCAGGAGACTAAGGTAGCAGCAATTATGGGCTTGACATATGGGGCTGCAGCTAAAAACTAGTGCCAATCTTCCTAGAAACTTGGGAGATACAGTAAAAAGTCATGGACCCTACATGCGGTAGCTTAGCCTCTAACAGTAGGAGATAGTTAGCATGTTTTGGAAAATGTAAATAGTATTAATACAGCAAATATGAAATAAAGATAGTCTTCGTTGTCAACTGTTATTTTTAAATATGGGATGAATGTCTTATGTTTTGCTCTAAGGATTCTTTTCACAGGATATTGTACAGTGAATTTCAGATTAAATTACTTCAAGATGAAGTTCTGGGGTTTTTTTTATATCAAGTAAAAATATATATGTTTACGCATCAGCTGAACTTCTATATTATCCATTGTTTTATATTCCCTGACACTAGAACATAGGTTCTCATTGTTTCTTCTTTTAAGGGTGTACAACAGAAACGTCCATCTGAAGCTCAAAGTGTTATTCTCCGACGCTATTTTTTGGAACTGACACAAAGCTTCATCATTCCATTAGTAAGTTAACATATATATTTACTTAATTTAATGATTTGTTGAAGGGTATATGAATGTTTTTCCCATCGACCAAAACCTTATCTTAAGTTGTGTGTTTTGCCTGGTCATGTGTTTAGTGATTAAGAATAGAGCCCTTTGCAAGAGACCTGGACTCTTTGTTGTAGTATTAACTGTGTAATCTAGTACTGACTGTGTAACTGTGTAACTTTCTCTCTCTGACCTTCAATTTCTTTATCTATAAAATGTGGCTAATTCTACTTTTCCTAAATAGCTTTCAGGGTTGTTGTGAATCTTAAATAAGATAATTGTTGTGAAATATTACATAATTATTGCATTTTGCACCTTAAAAGAAGTTTACCCTGGAGTTTCTTTCTCTAATATTCTTTTCTTTTCTTTTTTTTTTTTTTTTTGTGAGGAAGATCAGCCCTGAGCTAACATCCATGCTAATCCTCCTCTTTTTGCTGAGGAAGACTGGCTCTGAGCTAACATCCACTGCCAGTCCTCCTCCTTTTTTTCCCCAAAGCCCCAGTAGATAGTTGTATGTCATAGTTGCACATCCTTCTAGTTGCTGTATGTGGGTCACGGCCTCAGCATGGCCAGAGAAGCGGTGCGTCAGTGCGCACCCAGGATCCGAACCTGGGCTGCCAGTAGCGGAGCATGCGCACTTAACTGCTAAGCCACAGGGCCGGCCCTCTAATATTATTTTCTTGATCACAGTTTGATATGATATCCATGAGACTGTAGCTCCATGATGACAGGGGCTTTATCTGTCTTGTTCATTATCTTTTCCTCAGTCTGGCATATGGTAGCAGTTAATAAATATTTATGGAATAAATGACTAAATGATATGAAATTTAGTGGAATCTCATATTAAAATACTAAAAGATGCCTCATAGTATGAGGCAGTAGCGTGATGTGGTCCTAGTCTGGAGACTGCATCAGAGAGAGAGTCCGTGTGGTTATTAATGTAAAGTATTCTATCTATGAATATTCTGTGGGGGCAAGCTAGAGATGTTTGCTATTATATTTTGGGAAGAAATAGTCTTTCTTGATCTATGGATGTCAATTTATTTTGTTCCATTTAAATCTGTTTAAGTAAATGAACTTTACTGTAGTGCTTAAGAGTGTGGGCTGAAGTCAGTTAAACCTGAATTCAAGTTCAAGCTGTGTGACCTTGGGCATGTTACTTAGCCTTTCGAAACCTTGATTTCCCAATAATACCTGCCACATAGGATGGTTGCAAGGATTAAGAGATAATGCATATAAAATGTTGAGTATATTTTTTGGCACATAGTTACTCAGTAAGGTTAATTATTATTATTAAAAATATATAGTCTCTTGGATTATCTAAGATTTAGTTAAATTTTTATTGAAAGTCTGTCTTCTCAATTCAGTCTAAATTTAGCTATATCTGTTGTGGGGAATAAGGGCATTGTTGATGTCCATTGAAAGAGCGTATAATGAAAAACTTGGAGGGCTGGCCCTGTGGCTTAGCGGTTAAGTGCGCGTGCTCCGCTACTGGTCGTCTGGGTTCGGATCCCGGGCACGCACCGCTTCTCCGGCCATGCTGAGGCGGTGTCCCACATACAGCAACTAGAACGATGTGCAACTGTGACATACAACTATCTACTGGGGCTTTGGGGGAAAAAGGAGGAGGATTGGCATGGATGTTAGCTCAGGGCTGATCTCCCTCACAAAAAAAAAAAAAAGAAAAACTTGGAAACGCATTTCTTCTTCTTTTTTTTTTTTTTGTGAGGGAGATCAGCCCTGAGCTAACATCCATGCCAATCCTCCTCTTTTTGCTGAAGAAGACCGGCCCTGAGCTAACATCTATTGCCAATCCTCCTCCTTTTTACCCCCAAAGCCCCAGTAGATAGTTGTACGTCACAGTTGCACATCGTTCTAGTTGCTGTATGTGGGACACCGCCTCAGCATGGCCGGAGAAGCGGTGCGTCGGTGTGCGCCCGGGATCCGAACCCGGACGACCGGTAGTGGAGCGCGTGCACTTAACCGCTAAGCCACAGGGCCGGCCCCTGGAAACGCATTTCTTTTAAGTAGGTCTGTTTAAGTGTTCTTGAATATTCTCAATCAAACCTAACTTTGATTGACTTTTTTTTCTTGGTTTTAGGAAAGATATGTGGCAAGCTTGATGCCTTTACAGAAAAGTATTTCTCCATGGAAGGTATAAATGTATTCAATTAAATTCCTATTTGAGTTCTCTAACTGTATTTGACTTCTGTGAATGTATCCATTTCTAATTTTTAAATACAGTATGTCCTGTTTTCTAGAGTCCACCCCAATTAAGACAGTTCCTTCCAGAAGAATTTATGAAAACACTTGAGAAAACAGGACCTCAGCTGACCTCTAGAATAAAAGGCGATTGGATCGGACTTTACCGGTTAGTTTGTTTTTTTTTTTTCTTTTTCACTCATCTATAGAGCTTAGTTTAAAAACAAAACAAAACAAACAACTGGACTTAAACCTATATTCTTTTTTTAAAAATTGCATTGTTTTGGGCGGCCCCGTGGCTTAGTGGTTAAGTGCGCATGCTCCGATGCTGGCGGCCAGGGTTCAGATCCCGGGCGCGCACCGACGCACCGCTTCTCTGGCCATCCTGAGGCCACGTCCCACGTACAGCAACTAGAAGGATGTGCAACTATGACATACAACTATCTACTGGGGCTTTGGGGGAAATAAATAAATAAATAATAAAAAAAAATTACATTGTTTCATATGGTCATAGGTAGCAAAGATATTGAGGAGAGGAAATAAGTCATAATCAAACTGCTTCTTTAAAATTTATTTTTAAGGCATTTTCTAAAATCTCCAAATTTTGATGGTTGGTTCAAGACCCGGCGGAAGGAAATGACCCAGAAATTGGAGGCACTCCATCTGGAAGCTCTTTGTGAAGAGGTTAGAGAACAGTGTGTTTGTGTGATGATGAATAACTATTGAAAATAAAGATAACTTTATCCTTAGAGGCTTGAAGATTATACTCATATACACTCTTGATAAATAGTAATAGCTAACTTTTCTAGATCATGTACTCTATGCCAAGGACTGTGTAGGTGCTCTGTATAGATAATGTCTTTTAATCTTCACAATAGTTCATTGTAGTAGGTGTGTTATGATCTGCATTACGGGACACCTGAGGATTATAAGTTAAGTGATTTGCTTCAGGTCACATCACTGCTAAGTAGTGGAGCAGGCAGTGAGCTGGAGCCCACTTGCACTGGCTCACAAGAGCTGATTGTGTACATCTCTTCCCAGCTCTGCATTCAGTGATCTCAAGTAGCTTGAAATCAGCTACAGTGGGAGTATTTCACCACAGAAATGCTACCAATCAGAGACTTTTGCTGGAGAACCATTTGTTAAATATTTACCAGCGTACCACTGGATGGAGTCAAGAATCAAATCTCAGCAGTCTAACTCTAGATCTCTTCCAGTATGCCTTATTCACCTTTTCTAGTTACTATTAACAATTTTTTCCTGTATTTGGACTGACTTTTTATATTCTGTAATTTGTCACTGGTCTATTTTAAATTAAGCTACTTGTGAAAATATAAAGGATAGTCTCATTTTCATTTCTATTTAGCTTGAGATGGGCTAGCCTCATTGTTAAGCTTCTAATCATAAACTCCTAGTAATTGGTTTTGAGAGAAGGAATACAATGAAGGCAACCACAGATAAGCCCGAGAAGAGCTTATTTGAAGATGCAAGGTTTACATCCAGTAATGTATTCATGTTCACAGTTATCTTGATTGGTTAGCTAATATTCCTTATAAATTAAAGAACTCACTACTTAGTGGGGATGGGGGTTAGTATTGTACTTTGAGTTGCAGTTTTGTTTTTCTTGATTGATCTAAAAGGGCCACCTAAGAAAGGAATTTCTTACATTTTGTTTTACTTTCAAATATTAGACAATCATTCTGGCCTATATTGAAAATTATCTAATTAACGTTGTTAGAATATCATGTATAGAATTATTCTTGTACTGTAATACTATATCTGGGTTAAATACTCTGTTATTCTCCTTCTTGTCCTTCCTTCTCAGTTGCCTTGCCTCTTGAAATACAGAAGTTTGAAAATTATTTTGAGTATTTACTGATTTGGGATTTGTTTATTCTTCTAGGACTTACTTCTCTGGACCCAGAAACACACAGAAGTAGAAACAGTAGACCTTGTATTGAAGCTAAAAAATAAGCTGGTATGTAGCCAAAACAGCCAAAGATCTGTGAAGATATTTTCCTCACGTTTGAGGTGACAGTTCATGATGTATTGCAGAAGTAGCTTTCTATTTATTTATTTATTTTTCTTTTTTTTGCTGGGCAAGATTCCCTCTGAGCTAACATCTGTTGTCAATCTTCCTCTTTTTCCTTCTTTTTTCTTCTTTTTCCCCAAAGCCCCAGTACATAGTTGTATATTTTAGTTGTAAGTCCTTCTAGTTCTTCTATGTGAGCTGCTGCCACAGCATGGCTACTGACAGATGACTGGTGTGGTTCCAAGCCTGGGAACTGAACCTGGGCCGCCAAAGCAGAACGCACCGAACTTTAACCTAAGCCACCAGGGCTGGCTCAGAAGTAGCTTTTTAAATGAGAGGACTTGAGATTGGTCAGTTGATGGTAGATCTGACTGAAAATACTTGGTCATTCAAGCAGATCATAATGATGCCATGTTGTGTCAAAAGTATTTAGGGCCAGCCCCGTGGCTTAGTGGTTAACTGCGCGCGCTCCGCTGCTGGCGGCCCGGGTTCAGATCCCGGGCGCGTACCAACGCACCGCTTCTCTAGCCATGCTGAGGCCGTGTCCCACATACAGTACACTAGAAGGATGTGCAGCTATCACATACAACTATCTACTGGGGCTTTGGGGGAAAAAAATAAATAAATAAATAAATAAGTATTTACATGGAATCTAATGAGCTCTACAAAAAACATTGTCACTTATATTTAATACTTCGTAGTATGTGTAGGTATGCTAATTTACATAGAAGTTTTTTGTTGAACTCAACAATGTATTGTTTAAATGGCATGTTCTTTGCATTTTTACAGTTTCTGTAAATTGGTCTAAGTCTGAAGTTTCCAAATCATTGGACCATTGAAACTGTTTATTTAGAGAATATAATGTATTAATACGGACTCGGAGGATAATTTAAATGCTTCCAAATATTCCTTATGTAGTTGCAGGCCGATCGAGAGCATTTACCTGTGAAACCTGACACTATGGAAAAGTTACGGACACACATAGATGCAATTATCTTAGCATTGCCAGACGACCTACAAGGCATACTGCTCAAAACGGGCATGACATGATATTTGCCAGGATATTCCAGCCAAAAAGGATTGTGTACCATGAAGCATACTGACATCTCAACAAGACACACAAAAGAGATCTCTCGGAGTGGAAAACAGCCGTGAATGCTAGCTACAGGGTGGAAAGACTGTACCGTATGAACAAACCTTTTTAGTGCATTATTTTTAAAAATGGATGTCTGTGGTTGTTCCACTTTAATACTGAAACACCGAAAGGCATTTCTATATTTTTAATCATGTTCTAAAGTGCTCTTATGAGAGACTTGTGGGGCCATCAGTATACATGATTCCAAACTGCAGTGCTGGCATTGCAGATATTTTTTTAAATTGGTGCTGCTTTGCCCAATCATGTTAAAACTCAGGGGGATATAAAAATAACATTCACACTGGCTAATCTTCTTAAGAAGAAGGAAAAGACTGAACTGTCCGATTGTAATTAGAAATAATTATTGCTTTTGTAGTGCCTTCCGTTGTCCTACATGTTTCACAAAGCCCAGCTGCTAGTCTTGAAGCTTTTTCTTAACTTGATTATGATATGTAATTTTATAAGGCATTTTTTTGAGTAATCATTGCTTAAAAATATGTTTCTTGCCTCCCATTGTGTTTATTAGTAGTGGCATGGTGTTTTGTCTTTTTTTTCAATTGTCATGTATGTTTCATTTCATTATTTTCTATACCATTTTCAAAGTTAATCTTATCAATTTCTCCAAAGGCAAGAAGGCATCTAGTATTAATTATGGAAAAATTTATTTTCTCTTACCCCTTACTAATTGGGCATGTTTAAGTTAATTAGCTTGGATGTTTTTCAAAGACATTCTAATTATAAACCTCATAATCAGCTGTTTTTTAAACTGAACTATTTTTATTTCAAAGGCATTCGTAAACCTTTTATGTGATACTCATTTGAGTGATTATATGATTGATTTCCAGCATTATTTGTTTGGTAGGGCTTTTTTCCCCCAAATTAAAATTTCTCAGAACACTTTCCCTACTGTCATTTGACATGGGAACTTCTGCCTGAATCACTGTTATAGCAAGTTTTTTGTTGTGTTTTTGTTTGTTTGTTTCTGTTTTGTTTAAACTATACTACCTTGCCAAAAATAGAAGATTGTGGTTCAGTAGCTTGGTGTGTGTTTGAGTAGGAGTGTCCCGAAGAAGCCACTATTTAAAATAGGCACACGTGACATAGCACATATGTAAATAGCTTCTAAGTAACCAAATTTAGTTGTATGTGTTTGTGAAAGAAATGGCTTCAAAAGCTATCTCTTGTTTTCTGTTAATGTAACTCTTGAGGGCACCCCTCACCCAAGAAAGTCTCATGTTTGTAACTGTGGTCTTATACCCAAATGTGCCCTTTTCTCATGGATGCAGTCTCTTGAAGCATACCTCAAAGTCATAGAAATAATATGGCATTGAAAGAAATTATTTGCCTTGGATCATATGAGTTATTTTGTGAAACAACAGTTGTCCTGAGGGAAAAGGGGCAACTACTTTTATATGCTGAAGTATTTCATATCTTCCTGGGAAACCTTATTTAGGTGTAAATGGTCATCTTATTATTTTTCAAAAAGGTGTATTTTAATAATACAGTTTATATGCAATTTGTGACTAGAATTTGAATTAGTGTCATATCAAGGATCTTTTAAATTATACCACTACAGGATGTATCATTTCAAGTTTATTTTGCACAGCTAAAGAGTAGCAAAGGATGCCACTTATCATAATAATGGTATCTTCATATTTACTACATTTTAACTAAAACCTAACACATGTTGAAAACCATATCATACTTACCCGGTTTATCTATTAATTTCAAATTATGTACTTGTAACAATAGCTTAAAATTGCATTGGGAACCTGAGAAAGACTGACTGGTAACTTTATTTTTTGTGTTATTTTCAGAGTTGTCCTTTTTTTTTCTTTTTTTTGAGGTGATATTGTTAAGATCTAAAACCTACCGCTTAATAGTTTATCTTCACCAGCATCAGAAGAGATCACTGCTTTCAGGGTGTTATGTAATGCCTACTGCCTTCGTTTCAGTGAAAAAGAGGTTTTGTGAAGGCATTTATGGTCATTACCAAAAACTGAATTAAAGGCCTTGGATTTTAAAGCACTTGGATGTCTTTTGTGTTATTTCTGAGTGGAATGCTTGAAAAAATGCATGGTAAATGAAACTTCTGCATTATGGGATTCCTTTTACTTCCTAACTTATTTTTTTGTGTTTTGATTCAAATGAAAACCTTCTTTACTTCACTATGGACAGGTGAATAGTCCAGTTTAATAACAGACAGATCAGTTAAGTGATTTCATATCCTTCCTAGCAGTGTATTGATTTTATGAAATGTTCTGATGAAATTTTTTTTCTTTTTCTTTTTGTGAGGAAGGTTAGCCCTGAGCTAACATCTGTTGCCAATCCTCCTCTTTTTGCTGGGGAAGATTGGCCCTGGACTAACATCTTTGTCCATCTTCCTCTACTTCATATGTGGGATGTCTGCCACAGTATGGCTTGATAAGTGGTATGTAGGTCCGTGCCTGGGATCTGAACCAGCGAACCCCGGGCCACCGAAGTGGAGCTCGCAAACTTAACAAGCACACCACCAGGCCAGCCCCTGATGAAAATTTTTTAGCTTAGTAATCTAGGTATTGTTAAATTCTCCTTCATTTGCTACTTTTTCTTTTTTAACCTTAAATCTCAAATTACTTTTATTTCTTCCTCTTCCTTTTTAAAAGTAGCAGGTATATGATAGTATCCTTGGATTTTAATTTATTTGTTAGTATTAAAATATATTGGATGTTACTCCTTTTTGAAGTTACTGGGTAATATCCATCAAAGTATACTATAAAATATTTCAGTACATTTAAAAGAGATGCCATGGGGCCGGCCCCGTGGCTTAGTGGTTAAGTGCACGCGCTCTGCTGCTGGCGGCCCGGGTTCGGATCCGGGTGCGCACCGATGCACCGCTTCTCCGGCCACGCTGAGGCCACGTCCCACATACAGCAACTAGAAGGGTGTGCAGCTGTGACATACAACTATCTACTGGGGCT